GGCGTGGGGCATTTCCTGTGGGATGTAGCGGTCAGAGCCAGTGGATCTGGGAGTCAGGCCTTGTGGGAGCTCTCCCTGGTTTTCCAAGAGAGTGGGATCTAGTGGTGAGAGCAGGAGACTGGGAATTAGGGCAGGTTTTAGTCCTGACTCCGCTACTGACTTCCAGCAGGACATTGGGCAAGTCACTTAGCACTTTGTCCAGTCTCCCTGAGAAAAGTGTCTAGGGCTTTGAATGGCCTGGGTTGGGTTGGGCAGGGCTCCTGCTCTCCTGTCCTTTCAATTGCCCCCTTGCATTCCAGGGAAGGACCCCACCCCATCCATGCTGGGGCTCTGCGGCTCGCTGGCCTCCCTCCCCAGCAGCAAGTCCCTGGCCAGCCTCAAATCTAACGAATGCCTGGTGAGTGACAGCACCGAAGCCAGCCCCGCCCACAGCCCCAGTTGAGAGGCTGCACGGCGCCACTCGTCCTGGGATCGGCGTGTCCTGCTGGGGAGCCAAAGAGCTTCCACCAACAGGACCAAGGCGACAGGCAAAGGGACCTTCCTGACCCTCCCGTGGGGCCGGGCCTGCCAGCCCCACCCCTGGCTGATCCGCTGCATCCTCACGGACGTGACCCCATTCCTAGCACGGGAAGCTTCGCCAAGTACATACGCTCCTACGCTGGGACGGCGCTGGGGGATCCCGCCGCGCTTTGTGAAATGTGCTGGGTCGCTGCTCCGACTGCAGAAAGGCAGCCACCTCTGGGGTGGCGCAGGGCAGCTGTGGAACCGCCGTGCTGCACAGCAGCTAGACGGGGACTGAAGGATCCTGCACTTGACTGAAACCCCAACGTCAGGGGGCAGGAGTCCTGCATTTGGGGCTCTTGCTTGGCTGGGAAGGGCGAAGAGGAGGGGTGGGGCACTGTCGCAGGGCCACGGCCTCCCCTTGGGGCATGCCCTTGCCAGCTTCCCACCCCAGGGACTTCAGAGCTGCTGGGGAGCCAGCGGGGTGGGACTGAGGCTTCTCCTCCCAGCAGGAGACTGTATGGGCACCTGCCCCAGGAACATGGGAAGCTTAGAGCCAGTAGCCGGGGGATTCTGGGGCAGGGGGAGAGCTGCCGTGGTCTCACCTGCTTCCCTCAGCCCCTTCACCCCCAGCCGTGGACCCTTGTGCCTGTCTGGATGCTTTGACAACCCGAGGGGCGCTCTGCCCTGTGGAGGGGAGACCCCCAAATCGCTCCCTCCTCCGACTGATCCTTCGTGCCTGGCTACTATCCCCGCCTTGGTGTGTGGGCAGGGTCCTGCCTCGCCCAGCGCCCACGTCCTGCATGCAGGACCTTGCTGCTGCCCTGCGTTTCTGGCTGCCGAGGGGCCCCACTGCAGCCCTGGCCCCGACGGTTCCTGTCGAAGCAAACAGACAATAAATGCAGCTGGGAGCTGGGTCTGATCTTGACTGAGGGGGGCTTTGATGGGGCCGGGGGAGGGAGGCTGGTCACAGGATCCAAAGCTGGTCTCCCGTTGCTTTTCCATGTAGATGTAACTATGCCCTGGGAGCCTACTCTGCAGACACACACGAGGGGCAAAGGTGGCAGCACCCTTGAGCTCCCAGTCTGGTGCCCACCGTCCCGGATGCCTCCCCATGGATTGTGGGCTCTGCTGCCAGCCCCATGCCTGGGTCCCACCCTCTCTCCCAGCCTCAGCTGAGCAGGGCCAGAGAGGCCCAGTGCACCCCCACGCCACCATCCATACCAACCTGTCCCGACCCGACTGACTCGCGCGTT